CTATTTACACTCATTGTGTCAAATAAATAAATTAAATAGTAACAATTAAAAATTAATGTTTCGAACGTTTACTTACGAGTAAAATGTTATGAAAGGTGTATAAAATATCTATCTATCTAATATCTATTCCCTTTAACATTTCAGTGCCTTATAAAAATATTGCTAAAAGTTTATTTAAAAAATTATAGACTACTTTCATAGAATATAATCTAAAATAGACTTTGGCACCTTCACATAAAACACTATTTATAGTGATTGAACTTTTTATACTGCACTAAAGTTTTCCTGGTTTAAAATTGTTCAAAGAAGACCAATGGTAAATAATTAACAAAATGCATTAGTAAATCAAATCCAGCGGAACACAGTTCTGAATAAAAAGAGAAACGTACAAATGAATGTGATTAGCTTCCGGTAGATATGTTATTGAAAGCGAGCGATGGACGGTAAATAGTTTTTGTTTGGCTCAAAATAATTATTTAGCTACAAATACTGATTACTTAACATTTGGAATATTATACCTGCAAATGTTAAAAATTATATTACGTAGATGATAACAATAGAATAAAGGGTTAACAGAGCAATAACAGCCATACATGATAGTTTTTTTTTTGCCATTAAGTTTCCGTATAAATATTGTTTAGCCTTTGGCTTTATATTTCTGTATCAGTGTCAGTTCGCCGTAAATACATGTTTCCCAATTCATGTTTTAATTTTCATATAAACATGAAACAAAAAAGAGTCGAAATGAGCACACTGGGTAACAAAGGAAAATAGTGATGAGAAAGTGTGATTTTTTCGTCGAGAAAGACGTAGAAATGTCTACAAAAAATGTAGTACCCATTACAACATTTCTATCCATCCCACCCATCCGTTACAATCTTTCAAAGTCCACTGCTGTACGTAGACTAGCCCCATAGATGTGGATTTTGTCATAATTGCCATTCTAGGAAGGCTGGTTAGCAACCGCATTTTTTATAGAATAAGGGTGTCAAACGAGCACACAGTCCACCTGATGGTAAGTAGATGCTGTGGCCCACAGACATCTACATTTATCATATACAAAACGTAAATGCGTTGTCACCCCTGAGGACTAAGAAGGAATGCCTCGTTTCTAGTAAAAAAGGGTCTCCTGATTTCTACACTCACCATAAGAAACAGCAGTATTAAGCTGCTATTTTACGCTGGTATTCTGTGAGAGCGTGGTCCTTCCCCGGTCGAGCCGACACATTCGTGCTACAACCGTACCTACAATGTAATATAGCTGCAGCGTGGCATGTTATTGTTTTATGTTGTAATCAGGAAAATCCTGCTGCCCATCTTCTGTTCCAGTTTCCCCTTGTCGTCTCCTAAGAGATGGTATGGACTAGTGAATATTGTTACACCGCCACTAAATCAACTAACATTTAACCCAAATTATAACAACATCCTCTTACGTACGCCTCGTTGTTTGGCATAGGCTTTCTCTCATTTCTGAAAGGGTATGGCAGGAAAGAGGTAGCCGCGTTGCTCCACACGAATGAGGGCTAACACATCTTTGCAATATTTTTAATTTTATCAGACATGCAAGTGCCTTTACTATGTCAATTTCTTTATAATATCAAGTTAGAAGTATTAAATTTAAAAGCTTTAAATAACTAATTAAAAACATATTGCCGCCGAGCCACGTAGTGTCGGAGTAAGAGAATCCTCTAGTTGGCGGGTCGCCAGTCTGCCTGACAGTAATGGCAACTATGACAAATCCCCCTATGAAGTAATCAATAAATTAAAGCGACAGTAGACGTAGTAGTAGTATTGGTAGGGTGCGAACTGCAAACTCAGCGAGTTGTGGGTTCGAATCCGCCATTCGACTACTGTGGTGGACCACTCTTAACATAACCATTTTAAGCTTACTTAGAGTGGTTAACGGGAGTATTGAAACGGTAATAGCGTTACTAGTAAAAATTCTTTAAAAAAAACAATGTTAGACTTAAGTGTAGCTGAGGACATTTGTTAGGATGCTTCATTGATTATTTTCCAAATGCTTTAAAAATCCATCACCATACTTTCAAAAGTATCTAGTTGTTAATAAAATAAAAATAATTTTTATACAATTCTTGGGTAGGTATATTTGAAAAGTGTTCTGTATATAAAAAGTATTAAAATTTATTATTATAACTGTAACCTTTTATATATAGGTACTTACTTACAAAATGACATTCGTTAAGTGCGCTACAAGCAAGTACCATATTACTTTTTGCGAGCATCTCATTGGGGTTATAACCATAAAAAGTAGCTTATGACATTCCGGAAAAATCGTGAAGGCGAATCTACAGACGCATATCATTTTGTCTTGCAGATAAATTTATACATGCTTACGTATATATATAATACAACTGAAATAAAATGAAAAAATGAAATTAAACATTGTATGTAAACTTTTCTAAATTGGACATTGATGTAAAATGAGGCTAAATTAGAAAGTTTGAAAAATTCTTCTATCTTCATCAATCGCTAATCTTATGTCATCATATTTTTTTAATTTATCCACAAATATTATGTTATATTATATTTATAACTCATAAATGTATTTTCTTATCAAATTGCTTGGGTCAAGGGGCCGTTGCGTTGCTAATCTTGAACCCGAACTGAAGAGTTCTCGACCCACCCGCGATCCGCCTCTTCATTGTAACATGTACTGATTAAAGCTTTTGAATTGCAAGTATTCTGTAGGTTTTTATACGGCTACAATAACATCGCACAGTCGAATTCAAGTACTGTAAAAATAATTTTATATTATCAGAAATACTCGGTTTTTCGTGTTTATTTAAATCCCAAAGCCGGGCCATAACAACAGCATCACCATTAGTTTTAGTTGTCTGCGGTACTGATGAGCCAGTAGAATCAGAGTTGCCGTCATAAACTAACGGTTATTTTGGTGAAATGCCAATGAGCCGTAATGATTTCTTAATTAAATATAATATACTATTTCGCACAGGTGATTGATGGATCACGACAATAGCGCCACCTACCGGGTTCGATTGTGATCGTAAACCATCTAGGGATCAAACTCAAACACACGCAAAAAGTTTCATTACAGGTTCTAGAGTTTTTGCCCGCTTCGTTTTACCCTTAGCTTAACGGAGGCTTGTACCGTTGAGCTAAGGGTAAAGCGACTTCCAACAAATTACTTTGATGCGGATAACTCAGGACCGTGTTTTGTAGTATTCTTTGGCAGTGGCATATGTTCATTAGTTGACTTGTGAAGGGCTGAGGCGATGGTGTGAAATATATAACACCAATGCAAGTACGGGCTTCAACTCAGGCGTTCTTTGCTACCTACCTTCAATATATAATATACGTTTGTAAGACTAAATTGGAATGAGACTCAGATACGAACGTAGTGTCAGATGCAAGAGTACAATCACTGCACCTAAAAACCGCATGAGAATAAATGGGACTCCCGCTCTGAGAGTTCCGAATGTACTTAACCATGTACCCAGTTAAATTGTTCATCTTTCCCCGAAATAAGTCTTGACGAATTTCGTCTGTTTTTTTTTAACCAAGTAACGAATATTCTTTACGTATATATTAAGTACGTATAACAGTATGTACTTATTTGCATCAAAATAATTGACTTGGTAAAATTCATAAATCCTAGGTAATGTAAAACTATTCTAAGAAAAAGATAAGTCGGTTTTTACAGTGAAAAATAAAACGTATTCCTGTATATTGATTTACAAAACTGTCCATACAGCAACTGTAAATTTAAGTTTGTAAATTGAAAAAAATATAGTTTTTCTTTTTCTTTTGTGCTGTGAAATCTTGCTACTTGCAAAATTTCATAATTCACGATCAGCGCCAAGTACCCGTAAGGTTTTCAAGAGTGAGTTTGCAAATATGAAAATATGGCATATTATGACTGTAATTTTTAATTGCGTTAACTTAGAAGCGTCTTTTTTACACCATAAATGAAGGAAGGGACAGAGACCTTAGTATTTAATATTAATTTCAACTTGATAACTCTTGCCGTCCGAAAAAAGGGTCTTGTCAGTCGGACAGACGGTTGGACTGACGACAAGGAAATAAATAAAGAATGAAAGAAAGAAATATTTATTCGAGGTTATAATACGATATAGGAGTTTTACTAATAGAAAACAGGAAAACTTCGTGATTATAATATAACTATTGATATTGCAGCAACCAAATGCCTAAACGTTTCGTAGGACGCTACAGCGATGTAACCGCATTGTGTTCTATCGACGCTGGTGACAAAAAGCCACAAACAGTCGATAAACATATCTTTATATATAAAAATTACGTGTCACGTTGTTTGTCCGATATTAACTCCTAAACTACTGAACTAATTTCAATGAAATTTTGCACACTGTGTGCAGTTCTTCCAACTTGAGAGATAGGTTGGCTTTTAACCCATTTAGACCGATAATTATTTTTGTGAAAAATTCATGTTTCATTAACAAAACCTGATCCAAGAAAGCCTAAAAACCGGGGGAAAAAAATATTTAAAAAAAAAATTAATAAGAGGGGGGGGGCGACTGAAGGGACGTACCACATATGGTACAGTAGGACTATATGTATGCAAAAAAAGACATGATTTTACTAATTAGATTTTATTTACTTTTTGGTGTGATACATAATAAAGCACTCTACGTGGACACCGATATTGCACTTGACACATCTTGTAGGACATTGTTTGTGGCATAGGCCACACCTGGTCCTCTTTTCCTGCTTGCTGACATAGTGTTCTTTGCCGTCGTATCGAGAGTCTGATGTTATTGAAGATGGTCGACTAGGACCTGGCCTTTCGCGTTGTTTATTACAATCGATAATATAGTTTGCAATACGACGTCGAAAGTTTAGCAAGTCGATATTCCCTCCATTATGTCTGTACAGCAGCCATGCATTTTGTACAGACATGTCTATACAATGGAGAATCAGAGGCATATACCACTTTTTTCCTCGAATGCTAGTTCGCAATGACGATATATTCTGATCTGATAAATCTACTCCACCCATATTTTTATTGTATTGTTGAATGAGATGAGGTTGAGAAACAGATATTTTCTTTTTAGTTGCTGAGAATAGCGTTCAGTTTTGTGGACAGGATCAACACCAACTGCATTAGAGCATACTGACACTATACTATTGTCATGCCACTTGCAAATTATAATATCATCAGATATGCGATAATCATAAAAGCCTCTTTCTTTTGTCTTTGCTTCTTTGTTACTTAATAGAGGGCACTTTCCAGATCTATTTTCTCTGATAGTACCAGTTACACGAAATCCCCTCTCAGTAAGTTCATGAACCAAAGGCAAACCGGTAAAAAAGTTATCTATGAAGAGATGGTAGTTTTTTCCATAGCCTAATGTTGCTAGTTGATCTGCATAAGACAAAACCACACTTGCACCAAGACCAAGCTGGGAATATTGGGCATTCGTAAATGTAGAAGCACCTTGGTATGGTTCAAACCATGCAATGTAACCTCCTGATGTTGCACCAACCCATAATTTGTATCCATATCTTATAGGCTTGCCTCTAATAAACTGTTTGCAGCCGTGATGACCAAAATATGGGACCATAGCCTCATCAACACTATGATTCTCCTTATGTGGACAGTGCTCAAGAAACCTCATAGTTAAAACTTTTAATAAAGGACGAACTTTTGCAAATTTATCGGATGTATCTAAATTTAGATTATCAGCAACATGAATATTAGAGTAAATTAGTGTAAATCTATCTCGAGACAAGGCTGAAGCAATCAAACTATTTCTTGAGTCAGATGCATTTTCCCAGTACATTCTTCTTCTGCTCACTTGGCAGTAGCCACTGACTAACAAAATCCCTACCAAACATTTCATCTCTTCAATCTTGACGTCAGCAGAGAGAAGCTTACGTGCTAAGTATCTATTGGTTTCAATAGTAAGCATCTCAAATACTTCTGAAAATAATAAAGAAAACCATTCTATCGGGCTTCTTTCAATAGGAGTATGATAAAGGGGTTTCCAAACAATAGGTCTTAGCTGCAAGTCTCGTTTTCGCCAATTGTAATTCATGACACGTTTTTTTAAAGGTTCTTGAAATTCGGGAGGGGGTTTGGTCCTCAGTTTCTGGTTTTTCCATTGAGGTTGAGGCAGCAAGCTCCGCTGGAGCTCGAAGCAAACTTCCAGGCAAATTATTTATGCTGACGTTATCTTCTTCACCCGAGTCCTCGTCAGTTTGGTAATCATTGGCGGTGTCAGGTGGAAGTAAAAAAAATATCAAAATCTTGTCTCTGGTTGCTAAAATCATCATCTTCCTCAAGAACTGTAGCAATTTCATGTAATGTCAATGACCTAAAACAATAAAACACAAAAAGATAAATAAAAAGCTAATATAATAATATGTAAATTGACTTAGGTATTTTGTGCTCATACATAGACCTACTGTACCATATATGATACACCTAATCTAGCACTGTGTACACCTTACTAAAATGACCCAAGTGAAACTTATTTGTAGCTATTACGTCTATTGTAGCCTAGTATTTAAAATAATACCAACAAATAATATGATTTACTATAGATAACATGAAACTTACCTTCTTGAAGACATTGTAAATTGTTTTTTTCCGTTTCTGTCTAGCAATTTTAATATAAACTGATAATAACTCGCATAAAATGTGTATGTTATATTGTTGATATAAAACTAATACTCTGAGTTATCTGCCACAACTAACCAAAAAAGTTAATAATTTGTGGGTACATCAAAATATTTTTACAAAGTAACTGTACCACATAGGGTACGGTAGGCCTATATGGGTTAAAGCGATAAGTAACCCTTAATTTTTTATTGCGTATTTAAGGATTTTTTTACATGAAAGTCGTCGGAAAGCGCAGAACATCTGCCTGGCCAGCTAATATGTATGTAAATTTTATTTATGTGATAAATAATAATAAGAATAAGCAAATATTGCAAAAAATATATTAAAATAATAGTTTTACTATTTTAATATATTTTTTGCAATATTTGTTTGTATTTACATACACAAAGAAATTTACTACGTTAACGCAATTACACATTATATAAACATCTTAGTAACAATAAAATTAACAATTACGTAAAACTTAAAATTAAAATTTCAAAGGGGACAAAAATTATCTTGTAGTGGTTTCGTTTTTCTTTTTGAGGTACGGAATCCCGATAACAAAGTAAAAACACAAATATATATATACTTATTTATTTAACAATTCTGTGAACACAAATGAAATGCAAGTAATACGCAGTACAAAAAGTTTTTACAAAACCATAATCTATTATTTTGTGACGAAATTTCTTCAAGAAGCCTATACTGCTGTAACCTACTGTTTTAATTGGTCATTTGTTTTTACTGAAGATCAGTGATGTGGGCTATTTTTATAATACTTGTAAAATGGTATTATATTCTGTTTCTAATTAAAAAAAATGTCTTAATTTATGTTTTTAACCGAGTTCATAAAAACAAGAAGGATATTTTTTAAGTATGTTTGATGGTTGTCGAAAATGACTGATTCGTTTTTAAATGTTTTATTACTTTTTTTTCTATTAGCTCCACACAAGGATTTACATACATATATTTCACAAGGACAAACATCCAGACCCGGAACAAATATTATTTGTAGGACATACAAATACCTGTTCCGAGCGGGATTCGAACACACGGCCTTTAGCGAACTTATTGCTAAGCCACTTTACGACGAAGCCGTCATTATATTATTAGTTATATTAAATAACTTTTACTTCAGGTTTGATCCCATAAAAATTAAAAAAAAATCAAAACATAACATAACAAATTTAAGAAAGGAAAAATTTACGTCTTTTTCTACTTTTTACTGTACCTACTAAAACGACATTCTATTTGTTACATTGAACTTGTGATGTTTCTAAGATCACTCAAAAAGGTTCAATAACAAAATTTTAACCAAGCACCCGCGGCGATGTAGCTACTTAGTTAAACCGCTAAGCAACATGGTCAAAGTTACAGCCTATATGTGTCTCACTGCCAGGCACAGGGGTCTGAAATTTCTGAGAGAATTGTAGGCCAAGGAAATGTGCGCCGCGCTGTACCAATGCATGTTAGCGAACTTCACATGTCTCCTAAACATTATTGAAGTGAAAACTTCTTTAGCGGCGTTGTACTAATGATTTCAAAAGGAAGGATAGGCCCATCTAAATATTTTACTCATAACTTTTTCATACAAGAAAAAGTAGCGCATCAGTCATAATACAAACGTCATATCAAAACACGATGTAACCAGGGTCGGATTTCGTAGTATAATTATCCTAATTGCACCATTATTTCATAGTTTGTGGTACATAGTATCGTCATAAATCATAATACTAAACGAAAATACCATAATTGTACCTAAAGGTCGTCTTGTCTTATTATTGGGTCCTTTTAAATTTTAATATTAACCCTACGATATCGAGAATTACTGTATTGTACATAAGTACCGTGTTTTTTTAATAAAATTGGAATCAGCTCCCTTTCTGGTCAATCGATGCTCGATTGATGCATTTATGTTGCGTTCTTGATACAACTATAATGAGGGGCTACCACAATAAAAACTCTACCAGAAGCAATCGGTTTGAAAACACTATTTCAAAATATTTTATAAATCAGATTTTCAGATTCAATTACGCAGATATGGTTTCTTTTGTAAGTTTTTCGTTATACCCTTATTGAATATAAAATATATTAGGTACCAATAATCAAAATTTAACTTAATCTAAGTTCGTTAGACAAAAATTAAACAGAAATAAAAATGAAACCGTCAAAAAACGAAACGTATAGATAAACTAGACGCCAAAATAACGGCACATGGAAAAAAAGAAACATGAAACGTCATACGTTATGTTAATTTTTTAAATAGTATAGTTTTATTTACCATGTACAATATTTTTGAGGGTCTGAATCCAACCCTGGCCTAATCTTGGTAACGTAACTAAACTTACTGTAAAATAAAACTTTAAAAATACATTTTTATAATAATTTAATTGTAACAAAATTAATATAAAACAGTTAGCAAAATGTTTACCGACGATACGATATCCCAATGTTTTTTTTTTTAAATCTTTGTATCGTAATTTTTGCATTATTTTACCACGCAACTAGTGACAGACTTGTGACAGGCAAATCAGTCCTGCGCGCGCACCACTGTGGACCGATTCGCGTTGGCCCTAAACTGTAATTTTAGGGCCAGCGCACTGGTCCGTTTTAGTTGTTCGGTTGGCCCGGTCCTTACGCTAGTAATATAAAAGTCAATGCGTTGTACACTATTTTGTAATGGGTAAAAAATGTTAAACTCGCGTCAGGACACGTGACCCTGATCGAAAATTCGTAGACAGATGGAGAGAAAGAGAGACAGCTGGCGCGGCGTAGGAGAGGAAGTATCTCCCTCTCTTTCTACGGCGCGGCGAATATGTATGCCTGCGCCTGCTGTCTCGTTTAGGCGGCGCAGGGTGCTTGCGCGAATGTTCGTGTGTGATAATTAAAGCAATTCGTGCAAAATTATTCTCTAATCATTCCAAAATATCAAAAATGCACAACGTTAATATTCAAGTTTTAACTTCTGCCGGCACTCCCGGAGTGCAACCCGTTTATTTTTCTTTTAATCTTATTTCTCAGACATGCAGGTTTCCTCACGATGTTTTCCTTCACCGACGAGCAAGTGGTAAATAAAGCTATTATAACAAAAAATCAAAAAACAATAAGGTAAAATAACAAAAATATATAATTTATTTGGAGTGACAAATCGACCAACATTAAACAGCATCAGAAAATTATTCTAAGTACTTAGTGTAATAACGGTGCAGAATTTAATGGAAAAAGTCAGAGAAGTACCTCCGCACAAAATTTACATTTCGTAAAGGAGTCTTTTAGGCACAAAATTTGCATTTCGCAGGAGTTTGTCGATCATTTAAATGGAGCAGTTTTCGGCGCGCGTCGTGAATGCTAACAAGCATACGCGGACTTATCAGCGCGTGGCTGGTGCTTCTAAGTGCCTGCTCGTGAAAATATCGCGATAGTGCTTTAAAATTTAGATTTCCGTATCTGGCTTCGAATGGTGCTTATGCGACAAAGCATTTTCTACACATGCTGTCTAACGAGCGTGGTAGTGTTATTTAGAACAAATGTTTTGTTTGTTTTGAATCATCATCATCATCATCATTACAGCCCTTCACAAGTCCACTGCTGAACATAGGCCTCCCCCAAGGTATGCCACAAAGCACGGTCCTGAGCCACCTGCATCCATCGACTTCCTTGTCTTACCAGGTCGTCACTCCATCTAGTGGGGGGTCGCCCTATACCTCGCCTACCGGTACGAGGTTGACACTCGAGAACCTTTTTTCCCCAAGGTTTGTCGGTTCTTCGAGCTATATGGCCGGCCCATTGCCATTTCAGCTTACTAATCCGTTTAGAATATCAAGAAATAATCAACGAGAGCAATAAATTATGTTGGAGTAGGCATATCAAACAAAAAATTTAATCTGTACAATCCTACAATATTTTCTCTACAATATTTTCTCTACAATATTTTCTTTCTTACTCTTTTATGTGATAAGACATTGTTAAAATTAGTGCTTTAAAAAGTGCGTAGTTTTGTGTTTGTAATTGAATTGACAAAATTTGCGTTATTGTGGAATTGCAGAAGTTCACAAGAGAAGACCAAGAAAAAAATGTAAGCGAATACCTTAACGGATGATATTCTATTTTAGATCTACAAACTTTTGCATTTTTACATTAAGTAAATTTCTAAAAAAATAAATCCAGACCGTTTCAGAAGTTGAAGTTTTTTTTTAATAAATACCTGGTTGACTGAGCTTTGCTCGGTATTTTTCTCTCGGTTTTTTTTTAATTCGTGTGTTTTGGAAATTATATTTAGATATAAATTACATACTGATGAAATACGAATAATAATTATTGATCTTAGCGACATAATAGAAAAACTGAACTGGTTATTTGAATAAAAATCATGAGTGCAATTAGTTTAATTAAAATTTTCGTGTTTTTAAAAAAATACTAAAAAACGGCTCG